ACACACACACACACACACACACATACACACACACACGCACACGCAAACACACATTGTTTTTTATTTTTTTTTATGTTTTGTTGGAGAACACACACACACACACACACACACACACACACTGCAGGATTCATGCTCGTGCTGCGCACAACACATCCACCCATAAAATGTCCTCAGGGGCGACAATTAGAACTTAGTAACTGAGCTGGTTGAACGATGTGCATGCAATCAGAGAGGAAGCATGTCCGTTTTTCAAACACAGGCGGAAACGAGAAACATCACAAGATTCAAGACAAAAAAAAGTGTCAGACTCGGTATCCCGAAAGCAGAGTTTGCAACGTTTGTAGTTTTAGGAGCACAAAAGCAAGCAAGGACACACTACCCTCAATATACTGATTCACTAAGGGCTACTCGTCCTCCTCCCTGGACTGTTCCTCCCCGTGTGACTCCGCCTACGACGGGTCCTCCTCCGACTCATCCCCGTCCGGCTCTCCACTATCGTCCGATTGCTGGGACATTTCCTCCTCCTCCTCAATGTTCTGCGGCGCACTGTCTTCAGACGATGATGATGAGGTTAAAGAAAACCGCTTTTTCCAGTTATGACACAAATTTTCTTCGTCATTTTCAATCACCTCAGTTGTTCTCCTCTTCGCAGGCCTTGCTGCCTCAACTGTTGAATCCTTTGCGGCCTCTACACATGCTACTGCTTTTGCAACCTTCTTCTCGGGCGAAAGTGGAGGCCATCGTCTCTTCTTTTTGGGTGGTACATCCCTCTCCCCAACCTTCCTCTTTCGTTTATGAACCGGTTGTTCTTCGGCAACGTCTGGTGCCGTTGCCTTCTTCTTGCGTCGCCCGCGACCCGATACCGCCTCCCTCACCTGCACCCAATCGTCGGTTTGACGCGCCTTCAAGGCACGATCACGGCCCTCCAAGGTATACACGAGCTCGGGATCGGGCTCTTCAGCACCCGACTTACTGCGTAACTCTCGCACTCGGTGCTTCCCGGGCTTCGCGTTTGCGTGCCATGTTCTCTCCAGCGCACCGAGTGCGGCGATATCATCCTCACCATCCACAAAGTTCTCCTCCTTGTTGTTCTGCAGCCATGTGCGCTCTAGCAGGACGTCGTCGAATTCGTCTACGCGGACCTCCGCAGCAGCAGCATCGCCGACTGTCCCTTTCCTAACCTGTGCAGCCCAATGGTCGTAACACTCATCCACTTCCACGCTCGCCAACTCGTCGTTCTTCCACGGAATGTGTATGTCTTCTCCGTCCCCTCGCTCTCTCCGCATCGACAGTTGGATATTTCAATTGTTATACACCAGCTTAATCTCTCCGGCAAGAGTTCCGTGTGACGTTGGTCGTAAATGGGTTGATGCAAACTTCAATTTCGCTCGCACGCAGCCGACGAGCTCACCTGCCCAAAAAGTTTGATTGCCTGCGGTTGGAGGAGGTTCAGGGACCCCCCGAATGCCTCCCACCATAGCGCCGGAGTCTTCGAACTCACCTGATCCCTTGCGTTCTGTGTCCCCAAAGTGCCCAAACCCTGCACCCACATGTCCACCTGTCTACTGATTTCTCGCTGCAGCAACTCCGGCGGCGCCCAAGAGTAAAGCCAGATGTTGAACCCCTCGCGAATCTCCGTGTCTTGAACGGTGTGTGTTCTGTACTCGGGATCGAGGAAGGCGGCTGCGCAATGCAGCTCTGATGTCATGAAGGCCCACTGGTCCATCAAAATTTTCTCCACATCCGCCTTCTCAGCCTCCGCCAGACAAACCAACGTGCGCATTTTGTCCACAACCGCGTCCGTGCAAAAATAGACTTTGCTCATAGTTGCTCATGGACTCTCCACCAAACGAAGGAGCTTGACAACTAGCTCCATCACCGCCATGGCCTTATCCACATCCTTCCATAATCCATTTGTGTCCATGATGATGTGGGTGATGGCGTTGAATGTCGCCACCTCCCCCCCCCTCACCACCTTCTCCACCCATGTCGTATTGCAGACACAGAGCTCCAATGGATTCCTCCCCGTCTTCAGCGACTGAAGCATCTCAAAGTTCGTCGCGGATCTTGTGACCACTGGATGTTTGAATTGCGCATTCGCAATCCTATTGTACATTGTGCGGACCTTGTCGACGTTGGTGAAAAACTTGCCAACTTGATTGCCCTTGTCGACGACCACTTTCAGCCAGTCCATGCACTTGTACGTGTCCTCTAGGGTCAGATCCAAGGCATGGGTTGTGCAGCCCACACTAAAAATACCAGGGTACTTGGCCTCCACCATCTTCCCCGCTTTAGCGCAAACCCTCGCATTGTCCATCACAACACCGACAATGAACCCCGCACTGATCTCCTGGATCACCCCGTCCAACATCTTGAAGTACGCTTTTGAATCTTTCTCCCTCTCCTCCATGCAGACCGACTTCCAAAACACATTTTCGCTAGGTTGTTGGATTGGACATCCGGGCCCCAGCTGACTGTCCGGGGTGTCTGACCAGACGTCCGGTCGGACATCGGACCGGACAGGGTATATCCGACCTAACAAAAAAAAAAAAAAAAAAAACCTTGTGGCTTCCAGCTTGCATTAGGTTTGGATCATTTGGGCCGGTAGAATAAATAATAAAAATCTTCAAAGATTCTAATCCCCACCTATACCCCTCCTATCCCCACCAAAACCCATC